AGATTTTATTTATTTATTTGACAGAGACCCAGCGAGAGAGGGAACACAAGCAGGGGGAGTGGGAGAGGGAGAAGCAGGCTTCCCGCTGAGTAGGGAGCCCGATGCGGGGCATGATCCCTGGGATCATGACCTGAGCCAAAGGCAGACGCTTAACGACTGAGCCACTCAGGCACCCTAAAAATTCTTAATATCATCTAGTCTCCAGTCCAAATTTCTGCAGTTACAGCAAGGATTTTCAAACCCAGCTCGGTAACTGTGACTGTCTTCTGGGAGAGGTTGTGAGCCAAAATCAGGAGGCCTTGGGTTGTGAATTAGGAGTCTGATTTCTGTGCCCATTGGGGCTCATGACCTACATGTGGGTGTCAGAAACATTCTTCCTGCTTTCCTTTTGGGCCTTGGTTTCTCCATCTGTACCCTGAGATGGCTCATGGAGCTGGTCTCCTGTGATGTGGGCGGAGGACATCTCTCTTCCTTTTTTGGGCTTGTGTGTCTGCTACTCTAGGAGCATTTGGAAGAGGTCTCCAGGTGGGAGGCCCCTGTTCCAGGGCACCAGAGGCCACCGTGGCATCAGGTGAAGGTTCCTGGTGGCCCAGGGGCTGATCTGGGCCCTTGAGGGATACAAAATTTCCAGGCACAATTAGATCTATCTCATTCCAACATGCACTGCCAAATGGTGGTCCACGGCCGGATTCAGCACAAATGAAGGGCTGCTGTGTGCCACACAGTGCAAGAGGAGAAAATTGGGGGCGGGGGGTTCCACACATAAAACTCCACATTTCCAGCTTCTCGTGAAAGATGGGACAATGGAGCAGCACCTGTGGGGGACTCAGTAGAAGAGCCCTCTCTCAGCCTGGCCACAGTCCCCACCGCTCCTTGTTGCCTCCCTGATGTGCATCTGTTCTATCTACTGTCCTTGCTCTGACTGTTCTTCATTATGTTGAGAATTCTCTGAACCTTTGGTGTCGGTTACAAAAACAGGAAAACAAAAACCAGAGCAAAATGGCCACATGCTTTCTCTACACAGTGGGAGGCGAGGGGCAGGGGGTGGGAAGCCAGAGAGTGTTAATGGCAGACAGCTTGTGGGTGAGCCCTGGGAAAGGATGGGTCTAGCACTTTAAATGGAAGCTCAGGTTGCTGAAACAAGCCCCCCTGTTGTCCCCCCATGAAATCCTCCCAGAGCCCAAGGCTCTGAATTGAGGTCAAACTACTGGATAGAGAGGCAGTCCACCAAGATAGCACAGCTAAATGATGCAGCCTCTGCCCTGGGCAATCCAGAGTCCCTTAACCCCCTCAGCAACTCTGGGGGGCAGGTGCTGCTCCTTGAGCACCAACTGTATGCATGAATCATTCGTCTGACATGTATTTATTAAACACCTACTCGTGCCAGGCACTGTTGTAAGTGTCGGGGTCAACAACAGGTGCCTACATTCATGGAACTTCCATCCCCTGTAGGTGTGCTATTTCAGGACAAAAAGGGGGGGGGCGATACCCATCCTTAACTCCCTCCCCCGATTTGCAGCGCGTTGAGTGGGAGAGACGGGACAGGTGGTGAAGGTGGCAATGGAGTCTGTGAGTGAGGAGTGGGCAGTTTGGGGAGGAACCCATGTGATGGGAATTAAAACTCTGGGGGGGGGGCGGGGATCAGAAAAGGTGTTCTGGAATCTGAAACAGGAAGGGCAGGCTGTGTGGGCAGGAGCTGGGGATGAGAGGGTCCAGCCCTCCCCTCCTCCTCCCCAGGGCCTGACAGTGCCTCAAAACAGTGAGAGTGTCAGCGGGTGAGGCTCGAGACCGCAGCCCCCAAAATAGAGCCTCCTTCATCCCCGCTGGCTGACGGCTGAGTCACCCTGGAATGTGGCCTGGGCCCGAGCTGGATCCAGGGCCCAGCCTCCAGGAGCCAGCGCGACCACATCAGGAGTCAGACGCCTGGGCTCCCAGCTTCCTGCCTTTGTCTGAGCCTCCTTGGGACTTTTCTGGGGAACGATGAAAGCTGCCAGAAATAACACCTGGCTCATTGGGGAGTTCTGGCAGCAACCTGGACAAAGAGCAAGGAAGGGAAGCTCTAGTCCTGCCCATACCGCCAAAGGTGTCTTAGGGGGGAAAAGCCCCCTGTCCTGGAAGTGGGGGGGTCGGATGCTGGCGTCGCCTCCGCTTCCATTGTTGCTCCCCTGGATGATCACAGTGGTCTCTGTGTTGGGGCTTTTCAAAAGCATAACTACATCACTTCCCAGCTCCCACTTCCAACCCTCCAGGGGCTCCCCCTGGCACCCCGTGTGGAAGCCTGACCCTGGCCACGGGTCATGTCCTGCCTCTCACCCCCACACTCTCCACTCCGGCTATGCTGGCTCCTGCTGTCTTGAAAGCCTCGAAGGCATGCTCCTGCCCCAGGGCCTTTGCACTTGCTGTTCCCACTGCCTGAAATCCTCTTCTCCCCCCTCTTCCATTGCACTCCCTTCTCATCCTGCTGGTCTTTGCTCATGTGGCGCCTCCGTGGGGAGGCCTTCATGGACTCCTTCTCTAAACCAGCCCCCCTCACTCTGTCCTGTCACCCTTCTTTTTTCTTTACTGACCTATAGTTTGCATACTCTAACATTCCCCCTTTTAAAGTATCCAGCTCAGTGGGTTTTAGAATAGTCACAGGTTTGTGCCACCATCACCACTGCCTAACTTCAGGATATTTTCTGTCATCCCCCAAAGAAATTCCATCCCCGTTAGCACTCACTCTGCGTTCTCCCCTCCCCTCAGCCTCTGGCAACCACTAATCTACTTTCCATCTCTATGGAGGTGCCTTTTCTGGACATTCCATAGAAATAGATCACACAATATGTGACCTTCGGTGTCTGGCTTCTTTTACTTAACATGATGGTTCTGAGGTTATCCACACTGTAGCGTGAATCATTACTTCATTCCTCTTTGTGGCTGAAGAACGGTCCATGCCTTGGGCGTACCGTATTTGGTCTGTCCATTCGTCAGTCGATGGACACTTGGTTGGCTCCATCTCTTGGCCACTATGAATGATGCCACCATGAACAATAGTGTACAGGTTTGTACATGAGCTTATGTTTTCAGCTCTTTGGGCTGTATTGCTGGGTCGTAAAGTAACTCTGTTTAACCTTTCAAGGAACTGCCAGGCTAGTTTCCAAAACAGCTGCACCATTTTACTTTCCCACCAGAAATACAGGAGGATTTCTGTTTCTCCACATCCTTGCCAGTGGTTACTTTCCTGGGTTTGTTTGTTTTGTTTTTTTTTTAGATGATAGCCATCTTGGTGTGAAGTGGTACCACCCTGTGGTTTTGATTTGCGTTTCCCCAGTGCCTCAGGATGTTGAGCATCTTTTCATATGCTTGCTGGCCATTCGTACCTCTTCTTTAGGGGACTGTCCATTCAAATCCTTTGTGCATTTTAAAATTGGGTTGTCTTTTTTCTTTTTTTTTAAGAGAGAGCGAGAGTGAGCAGGGGGAGGGGCAGAGGGAAAGGGAGAGAGAGAATCCCAAGCAGGCTCCACACCCAGCATGGAGCCTGAAGTGGGGTTCAATCTCGTGACCCTGAGATCCGTGACCCTGAGATCACGACGTGAGCCAAAATCAAGAGTGGGATGCTTAACTGACTGAGCCACCCAGGGACCCCTGGGTTATTTGTCTTTTACAGCTCCTTTATCTTCTTTATCACACTTCCCACTCCCTGAAATGATTTTGCTTTTTTTTGGGTTTTGTCTGCCTCCCCTTATGAGTATGGAAGCCCTGTGAAGTCAGGCACCTCGCCTCTCCTGTTCGCTGCTGTATCTCCAGCACACAGAGCAGTGCCTGCTTCCTAGTTAATATTTGGTGAGCGAGTGAGTGACTCCACAGTGCAGAGCTGGGATGACTCACTCGCTCATTCAGCAGACTGGGAGCTCTCTGCAAACCTGTGGTTCTGATCATTCCAAGATGAAAGCACTGGTCCTAGGCTGGGTTGAAGGACCTCCAAGGGGTCCACCATGAGCACCAGCCTTGCGCTTTTGTGAGGCCCATTTCATGATGGGGAGGTAGCTCTCCCTAGCTAACAGCCCCTCCCCCAGAGGATTGTGGGGCAGGGGCAGCCAGGGCTCAGTGATGAGGCCAGTCCTTCCACTATCTTCTGCCTCTCCGCCGTGCTCTCCCAGTCTCATTCTTTCCCTGTGGGCATGACCCTGTCCAGGCTGGCTCAGGCAGAGAACTCCACTGCTGCTTCCTTCCTTGTACTACTGAGTTCTAGAAAGCTCTCCCACCCACAAGGACTCCCTAACATGTACCAACACCAGCTTCTGCTCTTGGCCTCCTGTAATCCATCTTCTACTCAGCAGCCAAAAGGATCCTGTAAAAAAAAAAAAAAACCTGAGTCAAATCATGTCCCTGTGCTACTCGAAACTCTCCCCTGGCTCCCACCTTACTCAGGGGAGAGGCTAACGTCCTCACAGCTGCCTCCAAGGCCCTGCATGGTCTGGCATCCATTACCAGTCTGGCCTCAGCTTCTGTTGTTTCTCCTTGCTCCCTCCAATCCAGCCACACTGGCCTCCTTACTGTTCTAGGAACACACCAGGCATGACGCAGCCTCAGGGCCTTTGCGCTGTTCCTTCTGCCTGGAAGGCTCTTCTTCCAGATATCTATGTGGCTCCTTCCCTCACCACCTTCAGGTCTTTCTCAAATATCTCGGGGAAGCCTGCTCTGTCCTCTCTACTTAAAAATTACACCCTATGCCCTACACTTTTTGTCTTCTTCCCTGCTTAATCAAATGGTGATGAGTACTGTGGCTTCTCTAGGCGACCTGGCGAGCCTCCCCTGGACCTGGGCAGTATCCCCTGGTTGGGCCATGCCTTGGAGTTTGGAAAAGATGCGGCCAGCTTCCTCACTAGGATGAAGAAGAAGCATGGTGATATCTTTACTGTAAGTGTGTCCTGTGCCTCTAGGGAGGGAAGGGGATGAGCAGCTGGGCCGGTCATACCTGGTGTTCACAGATTCCTTCTACATCCTTCTTTTAGTTATATACTAACCCACCCATCTAGTGGCCCAACCAACTTTCTATCCATTTTTCCATCCAGCTGTACAGCCAGCACTTAATCAACATCCATCCCTTCATTATCCCTTTAGCATCTTCCCAACATCAAGTCGTTCAATGTCTGTCCAGTTCTTGTATGTCCATCCAACCAACCTCTATCCATCCATTCAACTTCCATCTAGCCAACATCCATCCATCCAACATTTATCCTTCTGCCTGTCTACTCAGTATATAAGCAGCATCCTTCCATCCTAATATCCACTGAACACACATTCATACATTCCATTTCCATCAAAATTCTGTCCACTCATCCATCATTCCATATATCTATCCAGCATCTGTCCATCCATCCATTTATCCATCCTCCAACCCTTTGTCTACTCAAATTTATCCAGCATCCTTCCATTCATGTACCTAACATCTATCCAGTTTTTACCCATATATTCAATATCTTTTTTTTAAATTAGCCTCCCTGCCCAGTGTGGAGACCAGTGCGGGGCTTGAACTCACGACTGTGAGATCAAGACCTGAGCTGAGATCAAGAGTCGGGCAGTTAACTGACTGAACTCCCATATGTTCAGTTTCTACCAACTTCCATTTATCTACCCATCCTTCCATCCTTCTGCCACTATGCACCTAACATCCAGTTACCTATCCATTCAGTATCCAATATCTGTCCACTCTATATGCATCTATTTATATCTCCATCCATCCATCCATCCCTTCAACATCCAAACAACCACCACATCCATCCGCCTTCCATGTGTCCTTTCAAGTTCTGCCCATGCAACATTCATCCTTCAATCCTTTTACCCAGTACCCACTGAGCATCCTGCCATCATGTACCCAATATTCATCCATACTTTTAGTTTCCAACTAACCTTTAGCTACTCGTCCATTCATCTTTCCATCCAACATACATTCACTGATGATATCCTTCTGTTTACCCACCCATCTAACAGTCTGTTCAGTAGCATTTTTTTCTTGGATATTGGCCTGTATTTTAAAGATTTATTTATTTTAGAAGGTAGGGGTGGGATAGAGGGAGAGGGAGAGAGGGAATCAGCACGGAGCCCGATGTGGGGCTCGATCTCACGACCCTGAGATCATGCCCTAATGGCCTGTATTCTATAAGAGAGTTTGATTAATGTGACTCCCAGATCACACTCTGGGGCCAAAGCAGTGCGTGGTTAGGATTGGGTGACCCCCCCAACAGACATTTGAGGGAAGATGCCCTTTCCTTTGCTAATTGCAGGCTTACAGCTCTCCACTGCTGCTTCCTTCCTTCTTGGGCAGCAGGTTACATTCAGAGCTCAGGCTCCCTCAGAAGCAGGTATTGCTGGTACAGCTGCTAGCATTAACCCAACAGCGTCCGTCCGTCCGTCCGTCCGTCCTCCCTCCCACCCGTGATGCACACAACATGCACCTGCTGCCTTCTGTGGGCAGACTCTCTCCTGGATGCCGGCGAGAAGGCAGTGACCAAGATAATCATGGGAGGTGCTTAAGAGTGAGGTGGTTGAGAGCACAGCCTTCGGCGCAGAAAAGCGAACGCCAGTCCTCACTCTGCCGCGTCTCCGCTGCGTGATCTCGGGCACATCACGTGCCTTCTCTAAGCCTCCGTTTGCGGCCATAAATGGTCCCTCCCTCGTAGGGTCATCGTGAGGGGTGGCTGAGAGAACATTGTCTGTGAAGTGTCTGGCACAGGGTGGGCCCCCGACCCCCGAGAGCTGTCATTTGTAGCAGCTCTCCTCACTCCGCCCCTGCTGACTTCCCGCAGGTGCTGGTGGGCGGCAGGTATGTGACCGTGCTCCTGGACCCGCACTCCTATGACGCGGTGGTGTGGGAGCCTCGCACCAAGCTGGACTTCCACGCCTATGCTGTCTTCCTCATGGAGAGGATTTTTGATGTGCAGCTCCCGCATTACAGCCCCAGTGATGAAAAGGCCAAGATGAAACCGTGAGTGGCTGGAGACGGTGCCTGAGGGTGGCCAGGGAGGGGCCAAAAGAATTGGGCTGAAGAAAGGTTCCTCTCACCTTTATTCCTTTTAGGAGGCAGGTCTGATTTCAGTAGGAGGAGACTGGGGGCTTGGGTCAGCCAGACCTGGATTCAAATCCCAGCCCTACCACTTCCTAGCTGTGTGACTTTGGGCAAGTCCCTTGCCCTCTCTGAGCCTCTGTTTCCTCATCTGTAAAAGGAAAGGAAGTGGGTGGGGTGGTTAATATTTTTGAGTCCATATTCTGTGATCTCATTAGTTTTCCCAGTGATGCTGGAGGGTAAGCTACTCACAGCTCTGCTTTATGGCTGAGGATACTGGGACCCAGAGAAGAGCAGTGACTTGCCCTAGGTCACACAGCAAGGAAGTGAGCAGGTCCTGAAACATAAGGAGGAATTATATCAACAAGAGGATATGTGAGCACATTTATTCTGCAATCATTACGTCTGTAAATATCTGAGGACCTACTATACGCTAGTCACCGTCTAGATGCCGGGGGTGCAGAATGATGCCAGTCACTATTTGAAGACACCTACCATATGCCGGGGATTTGAGAGAAATACTTTGCTATCTGTGCTGTTGCCTCAAAAGTGTAGGCACTTTTATCCCTATTTTACAGTTGAGGAAACAGACTCAGGGAAGTGGAGTGAGTTACCCACGGTCCACCATTAGTAGATGGCACCCCTGAGATTTGAACCCAGGTCTGCAAACTCCACAGCCTAGTCTCCTCCAGCTGATGTACTGAGGAAATAAGACTCTGGGTCTGCTCCTAGAGTTCATGCAGTCTGATGGTAATTCTTAGTGGTCCGTCTCCAGGAAGGGTAACCTCCTGGGGTTAGGAAAAGCATCTAGAAGACTGGGTTTTGCAGGGCTGCTAAAGCTGAGGAAAGGCCAGAGTATGAGGTGAACATCAATGAGAGACAACGCCCAATCTGACCTTGGCTTTGTGGGGTCACCTCTAGGAATATTTCTGAGCCCGAGTGTCCTGGGTCCTGGCATTCTAGGGGGACCATCAGGTCCCATTAGCAATAAGAATCCCCAGGTCACTGCATTCTGCCCCCCATACCCAGGGAGGACTCCACTTTCCTCCAGTGTCTGCCCTAAGAGTTCCTGGGAATTTCCCTTCAGCCAGTATGTGGTCTTCTGGGCATGGCTCCACATCTGTTAAGGGCTACTGTCTCTATCAAGGACTAGTGCTTGGAGTGGGGTCTGAGGAACCGCTGGATCAGGGTCAGTCGCTACACCAGGTCCCATTTATTGAGCACTTACAATGTGCCAGGCCCTGCGATAAGCCCTTTTACTTACCCATTATCTCACGTGGGTCATGTCTGTTTGTTTCCCCAACAACGTTTCAACTTGAACATCCAAGAGCTTATATTTCCTGGGAGTTCGTGGAACCCTTCTGGAGGCTTTCCCCTCTTGAGTTATCCTAGAACCGGGTGGTTTTCTCCCTCTACAGGGGTCCATCCTGTTTCCAAACAGCAGGTGGGGACAGAGAGCTGGGTCGGCAGGCTAGCACTATTCTCGGTGCTGCTGCGAGGTGTCACTGTTGGACGTTGGTTCCGCCGTGGCATGGGGACACCGTGTGCTTGCTGCCGCGGGGCCTTTCCTGGTCTAGATCCCTGCACGTGTTCCAAAGTGGCCTTCACCTCAGATACAAGATCCCACCTTTGTGGGCTTCCAGTCACATGCTCAGTCATGGCTCAGCGTCGACTCTGTATTGTGGAGGCTCGGTATGGAGGGACTTCCGCTTCAGCCGCACACACTGCCAGACTCCTAGGCACACGCAGTGACACCAGGTCGCCAGCCCAGACGACCTCATTCCTCATGTCGCCTTCACTCAGGGTCACGTCTTAGCAGTCCTTGGTCGGGGGATGCTTTATCCAAACAGGTATCCCTAACTTTGGGTCTCAAGGAGAAAGAGTTGGCTTGCTAGTTCTCTCTCTCCCAGAAGTGTGTGGGTTCCTTATCCGAGCTTGTGTGTCCCGAGGAGGGACAGACTGTCACGGTTGGGGGTTCAGACTCTGGGGTTGGGCGGACCAGGGTTTCAATCCCAGCTGCATCGCTTACTGGCTGTGTGACCTTGGGAAAGTCACGTTCTTCCCTGTCCCTGAGTTTCTCTGCCGCTAAAATGGGTGGCATGATAGTAACTGTGATCCCTAGAGTTGTCAAAAGATGAAATGAGATCATGGTGCTTGGCACAATAGAGAGCAACTGCCCTTGTCACTGATGATGATAGTAACGATAATAATATTATCGAGTTTAGGCCAGTTGTCCGCAGGCCCCCATTGGCAACGGGGAACCGGAGCCCTGGGAGGTTTAGGGATGGCGGGCGCCTGTGTGCATGTGTTTCCCTTTGGAGGCTGTACCCTTACTTTGTTCCCTGCCCTAGGACCCTCCACAGGGACCTCCAGGCACTCACGGACGCCATGTATACCAACCTCCGCACCGTCCTGCTGGGCGACACCACAGAAGAGGCCGGTGGCTGGCGTGAGATGGGTCTCCTCGATTTCTCCTACAGCTGCCTGCTCAGGTGAGCCAGGGTGGCTCCCCCTCTCAGGAGTGGCGCCCAGCTCTCCAGACCTGGGTCAGCCGCTAACAGTGGCCACGGGAACCACGAAGACTTTGTGGGTGGGGCAACAGTTTGGGACACGCAAAGCAAAGACTACAAATGACCTGTTGTATCTGGGACCCAGGTGTTCGCCTGGCTCAGGCTGAGTTGTAAAGGAGGCATGGATCAGGGAGGTGGGCCTTGCCAGGTGTCCAGAGATGGGGTAGCAGAACGAGGTTTTAGAGACCGTCTTGTCCTGTGGCTTCCAAGCCTTGGACTTCACAGACCAGGAAAGCACAATGTTTGGGAGACCAACCCAGGACTTGAACTTTTTATCAGATCTTGTAAACTTAGATTACAAACTGCGCCACCCAGTGTCCCTTCCTTCGGCAGCGGCAGACACGATTCCAAGCACCGGGCACACAGCAGGGGAAAGACAATGACCCGAAACTCACAGAGCTAACACGAGTCGGAGAGACAGATCATAAACCAATAAATAAAGATGAATATGTCTGAGAGTGGCAAATATGGCAGCAGAGATCAGCAGATGGGGCAACAGTGCCTACGGGGCTCTTCTTTTTTTCTTTTTTTAAAGATTTTATTTATTTATTTGAGAGAGAATGAGAGACAGAGAGCATGAGAGGGAGGAGGGTCAGAGGGAGAAGCAGACTCCCCGCTGAGCA